GGTCACCATCGGGTAACACCGGATAACAAAGATCGAAAAATAAAACAGCAAAAATGGAATAATTAGCGTAATTGGGATTCGAAAAAAAAAAAAAAAAAAAAAAAGGGATTTTGAAAAATTTGGGTTGGCGGGTAATGCAAAACGAAAAATCAACTTTGCGTGGCCTAAGTTTAGGTAGAAATCCAGATGCGATGAAAAAGATACATATTACCTTTTTATTAGTCCTTTAACTGGATTTTACTAACGCTAACATATTTCTGCTTTTTTTTTTAATCAAATTTTTAAGAATAGATTAATTGATAATCTGTCGAGATAATTTGAAATTTTAAAATATACCATAATGATATAAAACAAGATAAGGACTAGATTCTGTAATATATTATCAATAAACAGCTTGAAAAAGTCTGTGCAAAATTGAGGCTTAGAAATACATATAGAAAAATAAATTATAATTGATTTGTTTTTCTTGCAACACGGCAATGCTGAATTGCGGTATATGAATGAATTAAAATAATTGTTAAATATAGTTAGCATTAATAATTTATACAATATATAAGTTATTATTATGCATATTTCTGTAATACCTGAAGAAATAATTTAAACTTATACAGCACATGCGTTCGAAGAAATAAGTTTAAACTTGTCTGTTGGCGTATTATTTATACTTAGTATACAAAGAATATTGGATTTAGATTTAGACAAAACTTAACCGAAAATCATTTGGTTATCTATATCGATATAATTGTGATGTCATTACCAATATTTAGAATAAATATTGACTTTCGAATACATTCCAGATTCATACAATGATAATTGATAGTTAGCAAATTCTTAAATTGGTTATATTGAGTAATTATTTCATTTTACTCAAAAATCTTTTACTGGTATTATTATTACACTAACCAAGTATTATAATTCCGAATAGACAATAAATTTATCAACAAAATAGTTTGAGGCTAAATTTTTTTAATGAAATTTTGAAATTTTCAAAAAAAATGTGCAAGTCGACTAAGCCAGCTAAGCCGATAAATAATCAACTAATATTTTATTTTCAAAAAAAAAAAGCTTCAAAGGTTATTTCTAGAGATGTACAATTGCATGTGACTTGCGCGAGAAGTTTAGGTTATTATAGTACTAGTATAAATTATATCCAATTTACTAATACTATTGATCTTGTGAAATAAATAAATGTTGTAATAAATAAATTTAATAATCTCGCGCGAAGATATACCTATAATTATTATTCGAATATAAATAAATTTATCAAAAAAAAAAAAAAAAAAAAATCGAAAGTCGTTTCTGTCTTAACAAATGTGTAAGTTATTTGAATATATCAATACTGATTATTTAATTTGTTTTTCATGCTCAAGATATGAAAAACAAAAAAAAAATTTATACAAATTTTTATTAATAAAATAATAAAATTGAAAAACTTTACAAATTATATATAAAACCCTTATGAAATATCCCTATAAATCCTAATAATAATGATTTATAAAATTTTAAAATTGACTATCTTTTAAGTTTTTTTTAGTGGATCATCAGGTATTTCAGTTCCAATTGTAACATCATCACTAAATTGATTTTCCTTAGGTTTAGGTGTTTGTTTCGCCCAGGTTGCAAATAAATCAACATTCTTTTGAGGCCATCGATTACCAGGTGGCATTTCATGTCCATCTGCTGCAATAAGTCTTTCATAAATTGTTTTTTTAAGATTATTTACAGTATCAAAATCTTTCAGATCAAACCCTTTTTTATCCTTCATACACCATTGATTACATGTTGTAAACATTGGACTAATATGATCGTCAAAGTTAATATCGACATCATTTGGTTTTGGATTAGGATAAAATGGTACTATAGGTGAAGGGAATGGTGGTGATTTCGTAGGCCCTTCCAAATAAAGTCCTGCTTCCCAATTCTTATAAATTTGAATTTTATCATCAGACCATGGATCATTTGGTGGCATTTGACGTGTTACGAGTTTATCTTCAATTCTTTTAGCGTAGTAACGAACACTATCTGCATTGCTAAGGTCAAGAGGAATGGTAAAAGCAGGTGAACTAGTTTGAGCTAACATGCATCTTACATTACATTGTAAAAATAATGGTCTAACATCATCCCAAAATGTTGTATCACCAGTGGTTTTCGTTTTATTCGTACTAGAGGTTGATGTCGTTCCTTCCATAAAATTACCACTAATCCAATTATTAAATGTTGTTAATGTTGTTTGATCAGTTGTAGTTTTAATATTATTTTTAATTTCAGTTGAACGTTTACGAATACTATCAGAGTTATTAAGATCAAGAGGTGGATTAAATGGATTATTAAATGATGCTGCACCTAATAAATCATGAATAGTAGGATAATAAAATGGAAAACCATAATCTTTTTCAGTTAGCTTTTTTTCAGCTGCCATTTTTTAAAAAAAGTCGTTTATCTTGAGAATAATAATAAACAAATTTTTTTTAATTAAAGAATTTAAAAAATTTGTCTGCTTTTTATATTTTTATATATATACGTATATATATATATATATTATTTTCAAATTATTCTCAATGACAATTTATTATTAAAAACGTGTAACAAATATTTCACGCCTACGTAACATGGCTCTTTTTTTCCAGTATAATTGAAAAGGAGTACTTTTACACATCATTAAACTAAAAAAAGGCTTGCCGTCTCCCAGTTTATATGCCATAATAAACCTGCTAAAAAGAACCGTTTAAATAATATTACGCCGATAAACCGTTTTTAGCAAGATACTGTATGTACCCAGGGTGGGCTGAAATATGCGATGTGAATATATGTGCATATAGTTGATAGTATTGTTAATTAAGAATTTAATATTGATTGGCTAGTGTAAATAAATTTTCTAAAAAAATGAAAATAAATAAATAAATAACGTTAACGTTAACGATAACTCCTGCTTTAATTTTATTTAAATATAATAGGTAAGAAAAAAAAAGCTTGTCAAATCCGGTCCTTTAAGTCGACTTCACAAGTACTTTTTTGGGACCGACTCAAACCTGTTTCGGATAAAGTTCAGGATGCAAAAAAAAAAAATACATGTCGTTTGTTCTAATCCCTGATTGGAAATTAGGAATCGGGTAACTATCGAAAATGTATACGGCAAATAATTAGAAAATATGCCACTTTTCACTAATTCTATTTATGATCATCTTATATGTCATTAAATTACATAAATATCTAGATTTTTAAAGCAGTTAATTCTAATAATTACATAAATATCTAGATTTTTAAAGCAGTTAATTCTAATTATAACTTTTGATCTTTATCAAAGATATGGCTGTTCAAAGTTAATTAGTTGGTTAACGTCATCCCCTCAGATTTTCGTCACCATAGTCCCGGTAAATGGTTACATAGTGTCACGGGCGGAAATATCAATCCAAAACACAATACATCTCTCGGTCCCGGACTGGAATTCTTGCGTAACGTTAAAGGCTTTCTCGGCTGAGGCGTATGATTCGGTCGAGTAAGATAAGTTCCTTCTTATCTTATTTATTTCTCTATATGTATCGTTATCTACCTTCGCTAATCACTAACTTATTACTTTAATTATGCAAGGGGATTATTTAGTCGTATCGGATGTTGCAAGAGTTTGCCGGAGTTGGTCACGTGGGTCACGGATTATTAAATCGGAGATTTCATTGATGAAAGGGGTATGACGATAGACGATAATTTATGTAACTGATTTATTGTATGATATCAATTTAAAAGTAATTTAAACAAGGAACGGATTTTTTAATTATTTATTTGTCAAGATTATTTTATTAATGTTATTTAAAAATAGTTCGAAACTGAAGGTTATCGTTAACCTTTTATAACTTTTAACCCGTTACATTATTGTCACCCTTTACTTCTTTAATTAATTTCTCCCCATTTACATAATAAACCAATTTTACCTCATTACCAACATTCCCAACTTTGACGGCCCTTACAAATTTTACAGTCATTACACCTTTGACGATCTTTACATCATTTACAATCTACAGATCTAGCTAAATATGGTAGTGACGTTAACTAGTCTACATACATATACATATATAAATTTCTAATCAAACCTAAAAGTTTTTCTTAAATCAAAAAAAAAAGTATACGTAGTTGTTATTATTATTGTATATTGTATTGTTTTTTTAAAAGATTCCTATATAATGTGTATAATAAAAAAAATATAAAAACTATTTTTTGCCTCTTATATTACCTTCATTAATTATCACTTTGGTTTATTTTACTTTTTTTTTTGGTTAAAAAAATAGAGTTTTTCCAATTTAACCTATTTTAAAGATCTTTTTTAATATAACTTTTATTGTATAAATTGAATATAAAGATTGTTGAAT